TGGAGGTTAGGTCACTCTGTCCGTGGCACCGTGCTGTGTGGAGGTTAGGTCACTCTGTCCATGACACCATGCTGTGTGGAGGTTAGGTCACTCCGTGGCACCGTGCTGTGTGGAGGTTAGGTCACTCTGTCCGTGGCTCTCCTCCTCGGCCTCACGTCTGCCTCCTCCTTCACCCGTGGCCCCCGGTGGGGTGAGCACCTGCCGTTCGCGTCCCCGTCCAGCCTTCCCTAGTGGTGGGCGTTCCGTGTGCGCTCAGCTCCAGCTTCCTCTACCTTCTGCGATTTAAAAATAGACCGCGGAAACCAAACCCGCAGTGCGTTACATCGGCCAGGCTCACTCACTCAGCCATCAAGTTTTCCGGTGAATTCCACACTGAAATATACTCAGAATGCAGCCTTCAGCTACCTGGCTGTGTCCTCGAATAAACCCTGAGAGAGATGTACCAGAAGATGCTTTGATTTAGACACACAGGCAGTTAGGGGGTCCCACCAAGCACCCTTTGAGGGGACTCAACAGCGGGCAGGTCCCCAGCCCGATCCCCAACTTTACTCCTCACCCGGCTGACCTTAAGAAAACCTGGTGGTGCGGTGGCTGAAGCACACAGTGTCTCATCAGAAGGTCAGCCTGTCAGATCCACCAGCCGATGACCAGGAGGAAGGCGGGCGGTGTCCTCCCGTAAAGATTTATAACATCAGAGCCGCTGTGGGGCAGCCCATTGGGTCAGGATAGACGTGCCAGCACTGAGTGCAGGGTTTGGGGGTCAGGCGACCCGGGGGTGCTGTGATTGAAACACATGTCTGCTAATAAGGACTTCCTAGGCATGAAAGCGGCCACCACGTCCTCCTGCAGAGCAGGGGAACCCAGTAGCCTCCCCACCTTCCTGCCTTTGAACGAACTGACGTTTGCCCTTCCGTTTTTCTAGATGGCCTGCAAACCAACGGAGAAGCTGATGATGGGATAGAAAACATTGACGAAGATATGATCGTGACCCAGAGTCTGACCAACTTCACCTGCCCCATCACTCAGGTAGGTACAAGCTCCTCCTGCTTCCTCAGAACAACTAACTGCCTCCTAGGGCCGGGGGATTCCTGTTTGTCTCCAGCCTGTGTCCCACTTGGAGTCAAGGAGGGAGGGGAGACAGGTGAGGAGAGCTGGAGAGCAGACCTGGAAGGATCTTGGGCTGGAATGATGAGTTCTGCCATTCACGCTTGTAAAGGTCTGGGGACAGATTCACATCCACATGCAAATGACGTGACTGGTTCCCCTGCATTTTTGCCTGTACTCATTGTTGGTAGCAATGATCTAAAGCCATGAGAATGGGAGGTTAAACACAGAAAGCCCAGGACTGGGAAAAAACAGCTCCAGATAATTGGGGACTTGGAGAAGTTACTGGAAGTTGATCATTATCGTTCCTGAGGGTCTCCTCTCTTCTTGGTTATAGCTGGAAATGAAGAAGCCAGTGAAAAATAAAGTGTGTGGCCACACCTACGAGGAAGAAGCCATCGTCCGCATGATTGAGTCCAAGCACAGGCGGAAGAAGAAGGCCTGGTAAGTGGCTGTGAGAAGGGCCTTCCCTGTGGCAGCCAGTCAGAGCGGTCAGTTCATGCCAGGGGAGGAGATGTCTGTAAACATCACCCCTAATCACATACCCCTCCTGAACTGACTTTCTGTAAAAAAAAAATACATGAGGGGAAAATGAGTAATCAGATCAGGAAGACAGTGAAGTGCCAGCTGTTGGACCACGCCTCCTAAAAAGAGGTAAGAAGGAACAGGGCTGAGTTTTAGTAAAACAGCTTGCTGCCACAGGTCAGTCCCACCTCCCAGTGACCTGTAGGACAGAGTAGAACTGCCCCGAGGGTTTCCAGGGCTGTAAATCTTTTCAAGAGCAGATGACCCCATCCTGGTGTTCATCCTTAGATAAGAGGAGCTTTGATGATTTTTGTTCTGTTAAAATGTAGCCTGTGGTCATCGTATGTAGGCACTCACAAAACAAGCTGTTGTCGTGTACCATGGAGACTGTAGGATGGCTGACCCACCAGCGGGTTTGCAGAGGCTGTAAATCACACTCCTCTCTCTCCTGAGAGGCAGCTGGTGGATATGAATTGTGTGTCTGTGGGTGGACGGTACCAAGGCGAATTTACGAGCTCTTAGCAAGCCAGTTCTCCCACTCCCCCAGTAATGTGAGGTAAACATTGTAAGAATCCACAATTGATGGTCTTGACAGTCAGAATCTGCCAGGGAAAAATCTCATCTCTTTAATTACTTAAGCAACTTCTGGAAAGAGTAATGGATATCACTATAAAGGAAATGGATAATCAATAGGAATATTTCCTTTAAAAATTGGTACTTTTGGAAAATTTTTTCTGTTGGGTGTGTGTGGAGGGTGTGTGTGTGGGGGTGTGTGATATTTATATAAGGAGCTCTGGCAGCCTAGTGGTGAGGAGCTATGCTGTCATCCCAAAGGCACTCAGTTCAAATCCACCAGTTGCTCCATGGGAGAAAGAGGGGCATTCTGCTCCCTTGCGATTGACAGCCCCTAAGAAGCCCTTTTGACTGCAGTCTTCAATATGGATGATTACGTCTTAACATCAAGAAAACAAAGAGTCTCACCACCCAGCCAAACAGCAGCAGCATCATAGAGAAGAAATTGAGGTTGTTAACAGTTCCAGCTTGCTTGAGTCCACAATCAGCATCATAGAGAAGAGATTGAGGTTGTTAATCTTCTCAGCCTGCACAATTAACACTCTTGGCACCATCAGTGAATAAATCAGAAGATTAGTTGCTTTGGGAATGTGTACTCTTGGCAACATCTGGAGAGTCTTAAGGAGCAACGATGGTAATCTATAAACTAAGGTGCACCTTATCCAAGTAATTGTCTTCTCAGTTACTCGCTGTGCATCGGAGAGTTGGACAGTGACTAAGGATGACAGAAGAAGAATCGATGCCTTTGAGTTGTGGTGCTGAAGAAGAGTATTGACATCCTGTGGTTGCTCCTCAGAGGAAAGGTTTGTGAAGCTTCATCTCACATACTTTGGACATGTTGCCTCAAGGGACCAGTCCCTGGAGAAGGACATCATGCTTGGAAGGCTAGAGGGACAGCGCAGGAGAAGACTACTCTGGGTGAGATGGATTGACATAGCGACAGTGGCCGTGGGGTCAGGTGTGTTGGAGGCATTAGGTTGGCTTGGGAGAGGGCAGGGTTTAGAGCCATTGTTCATAGGGTCACACATAACAAAAACCCGCTGGAGGATCAGCTGTGAGCTTATTTGACTCAATGGCACATAACAACAACAACATGCTTGGTTCTGACTCAGAGTGGTTTGTGTAAAGCAGACTGAAACCCTGGTCAGTTCTGCACAACCCTCAGTCTTGACCGTACTGCTTAAATCCATCGTTTGAGTGACCTCGTCAGTCCATATCATTGAGGGACTTCGTCTCCTTCACTGACTCTCTTCCCTGAGCTTGATGTCCCTCCCCAGGAACTGACCCCTCCTGGCGGCCACAGCACGCAGACCACCCTAACTTCAGAGAAGCATTCTGGCTGTGCTTCTCCAAGACAGATCTGCTTGTTCATTTGACAGTCCGGTCCAGAGTCTGCTGATGCCACAATTCAAAGGCATCAGTTCTGTTTCCAGCTTCCTGAGTCATTGTCCAAATTTCCCATGCATGTGAAGCAATTGAAAATACCATGGTGGGGGTCAGTCGGTCTGCTAACCAAAACGCTAGCAGTTCAAATCCACCACCTGCTCCTTGGGTGAGAGATGACGCTGTCTCCTCCTACAGAGATTCACAGCCCAGGAAAATCTCTCATGTGTGTGTGTGTGTGTGTGTGTGTGTGTGTGTGTGTGTGTCTCTCTCTCTCTCTCTCTCCTTGGCTGTTTCCTGTAATAGGGTTTGTCAGACGTAGAATGTTGACTTGACTAGCCACTGACTTTGGCCCCGATTCAATCTGGCATTTCTTGGGCTCTTATCACGGATTTGTCACAGCAGTGGAATTGCAGGTGTGACCAGTTCTCCATACACTTTCGATAACGGTCCCTTTGATGTGTAGTTTGCTTCTCCATCACCCAGAAATGTGCTGATCTAGACCTAGAGTTGGAATTCCCCACCACTCCTCCTGGGGTGTGGACTTAGAGATATTTGAGACTGTAGGTATCTTGATGGCCATTAAGTCAGTCATTTGCCCTGTTTATTCTAGAAAGAGGACTTAAGAGTTGCTAACATGCTGATACCACTCTTGCCTCCTGAACATGCGTTTCATCCTGGGATTAGAATTTCCTGAATTTCAAAGTCTAGTCTACTTAAATTTTTCCTTGTTCATTCTCTCATAATGAAAAATTGCATCTCACAACATACTTGCTAAGAATTGGTATTTCCAGAGAGTTCCTGTTCACGGCTGTCTTTCTTAAAGTTTATGATATTCTCCTCAAGTCACCTTTGAAAAGGGCAGGCGCTGATACAAAGCACGCATATCCCCACACGTCCCAGGAAAGGTGGGGGCTGCTTGCAGACCAAACATCACTTTGCAATGAATCTTCTTAACGTCACACTTTGACTTTCTGATGCACTTTGCATTTTTTATTTGCGTGTGATTTTGGAAGGACTTGAGTAAATTTGTCACTTAGAAAAGTCTGTTGGTTAGGTTGTTGGTTTTTTTCCTTTCATACTTCTCATGCCTCCGTGTCTGAAGTTCTGCAGATTGCCTTCACTAGATTAGAATAACTATTAGGTCTCTTAGAAGATGTCTGGGTGGTTTACAGAAAAGGTAGTGTTTCTTCTGGACCTTGGACAATGGATTTCCGACTTTGGTGGAGAAGAGTCTTCCAGTTTGGACCTTGTTCTTCTCTGGGGATGGAAATTACAGTTGTTGGACGTTGGTGGCAGAGTGGAGGTATTTATTCGATGGACAGTAAGAACAGGAAAGTACTGTGAAGATCTGAAGTGGCACGGTGAAGGGTTGGGATTTCTCTAGTTACCTTACCTATGATTGGGAGTTTGAATAAGACGCAGTTAAAACAGTTCTAGCACACAGTAAGAATCTGTGAACATTATGCCATTGTCATTGTCATAATCATGGCTGTCACCATTGTTACTGAGGCAGGAGAGAACCTTACAGGGTTTGGGGGGAGCAAGTTGAGCCGATCTGGGCTTCAAAAAGAGTCTCCCTCCCAATAGCAGTGCCAAGGGTGGGACTGCTGAGGCTGAGGGGAAAGAGGTCAGTAGGGATGCTTCTGCATTAGATTATGTTAGCGATGAAGAGAGCATGGGCTGAAACAGTGGACGCGGCTGAGAGGGACTGAGAACATGCGTGATTGTGGAGGAACAGTGGCTGAGTGTAAGAGGGAGGGAAAGGTAAGGATGACCAGAACTTCTCCTCCGTGTGTCTGAAGATGGGCAGTGCCGTCGCCAGCAGAGAAGGACATCAGAGAGAAGGCGTCAGGAAGGAATAGGAGAGACTCAACGCAGGTCATGCAGAGTTTACAGTCTTGGCAATGGGCAGCCCCAGGAGGCACAGAAATCCTGGGAGTGTGACCTCTAACTAGAGAGGTTGACTGTGAGTTCACAAAAGAGAGGAGCCCAGCTCACCCACAGTCACAGACACAGGACCAGAGCAGACACCATCATAAAGAGAGAGCCCGCAGAGCCAGGGTCACCGAGACAGCCCGGCACCCGACACGGGGCCTTGCTGTAGAGCATTCTGTTCATTGACTAAAGGGCTGATTAGAGGAAGAAGGCCTTAGGGGAATTGTCTGAAGATGAAGCCAGGGGAGGTAAAAGTCAATGATCGCAGGAGCCAGTGGGGGAGCAGTGGGGCGTGGTGGGCAAGGTCTTGATGACATTTGGCAACAGACATGAGGATCACCTCAGAAATGACTCTCGGGGTTCCTGAGTAAGCGTGAGGTGGAGTCATTTCCCATGATGCATGTTAGAGCGATGAGCAGCTCTGGGTTCCCTTTGTTTAAAAAGGTCTGTGACACATCTCATTTGAGAGCCTAGCTCTTCCTCCTGATTGTTCCATTTACGTGTGTCTGTCTGGAGGGGTAGGTACGCTTTGGCACTGGCCACTGACTGAATGTGGCCGTGTGTGCTTTGAGCCCTGGGCAGATCTCACTGCACTAGCTTGGAAGTGTTAGGGCTTCAATCCAGACTAAACCCAGTACTTAGATAATTTCCTAAAATACATCTTTTAATAACACAGTTTATTTTCTCCCTGGTAAAGCTGTCTTGTGATTGCCCTACTAATAAAGATAGTTCCAGTTTTACTGCAGTCATTTCTTCCCTTTTTTTGTTGAGTAGCAGGAACTACATTTAGCAGCCAGTTGTATTTAAAAGCTTGTAAAAAAATAAAAATAAAATTTTAAAAAAGAAGCATGTAGAATGAAAGTAGTAATAAAAGCGCAGCTCCCCAGCAGTGAGCTCATAATTGTGTTACCGATGATCAGCAAGTCTTTTAGCCTCTCAGGGTCACAGTCTCTCCATCTGTAAAATGGGTACAATAAAGCATCTCACAGCATTTTGAGATCAAAGAAGCCAGGTGTGGATGGATT